TGAAATAATGATATTATTATTATTATTATTATTATTATTATTATTATTATTATATTTATTATATTTGTTAATATTATTATTATTATTATTATTTTGGTGAAATAATGATATTATTATTATTATTATATTTATTATATTTGTTAATATTATTAATATTATTATTATTATTTTGGTGAAATAATGATATTATTATTATTATTATTATTATTATTATTATTATTAATGAGTATTATTATTATTATTATGATTATTATTATTATTATTAGTATTATAATATTATTAGTATTAATAATAATATTGTATTATTTTATTAAGTTATTTTATTAATTGGGATTAGATTTAATAAAGAAAATAGTATGTGAAGGGGTGGGGAGAGTGGTACTATACATTTTAGTAATTGAGAAAAAAGGCGATAGAAAAGAGAGAAGAGAAAAGGACGAAAGAAAGGAAAAAGAGCGAAGGAAAAAGGGAACGAAGAACGGAAGAGAAAAGGGGAAGGCCAAGAGACCAATTCTAGGAGGATTTTTATCGATCAACCAATTGATAAGGTAAGGGGGGAGAAATTTGATTGGGAATGGTTTATACATGTATAGGGTAGAGGGGATTCCTTAACCGCGTAGGAATTTATCGTTATATAAAGTTTTATATTGGCATGCTATGATTATTGATGATGTTGGGGGATTGATGAATGCTGATGATGCATTTTGGTGTATATATATATATATATATATATATATATATATATATATATATATGGTGATGATAGTAACTGTAATGTTGATCCATTTTGTTGGATTATTGATGTTACTGTAGTATTGATCCATTTTGTTGGATTGTTGATGTTACTGTAGTGTTGATAGTAACTAGGAATATAAAGCTGATGAGATTCTGTGTTGTTACCGTAGTGTTGGCAATGACCATGATTATAGCTTTGGGAAAGTTATGTGTTTCCCTATAGTCTTGTTAACGACTATGGTTAGGACCTTGGTGAGAGTCAGAGTGACTCTGAAGTGTCGGTAATGTACCATAATGTCGGTTCTAGAGTAGAAATTATAGGATAATTAGTAAGTATAATATCTATTGGCATGTTTGTGATTGTGGATTGATGTTGATGAATTGTTGATTTTGGTGTATAAGTTGAGGTGTTGGTTTAGGGAGGTTCTGAGTAACCTCAGAGACTTTTGGTGAGATGTCTGAATTGGTCTCGTGTGATCCTTCTAGCCTTGCTGTAGTGTGAAAATGATGAGTATGGGATATAACTTGTGTACTTGGTGATAGTATGTGTTTCCCTTAATATTGTTGGTGAACAATTAGTTGATGTATATGTGTGTAGTGATCAGTAGGATCGTGTATTTCCCGAGCGGTGAGATGTGTTTATATTTGGTGTTAGAAAGTGAGACTACTCACTGTGTGATTGAATTATATGATGTTGGTGTATGTTATATCTATACATATGCATTGATGTATGATGATATGATCAGGAGGATTGTGTGCACTTAGTGTGCCAGAATGTAATAGTTATGCATTGGTGTCTTGCATATCATGGTGTTTTGGTGGGATGAATCATGTCTCAGGAGGAGCGTAAGTGATTCATCCGTACTCCTTTGTGGAGAATGGTGGGGGGATAGATCATGTCTCAGGAGGAGCGTAAGTGATCTATCCAGGTTCGATTGAATGAACCAATGAGTCGGTACCGCATGCATGGTGTTGTGTTGCATAATTGCATTATAATATGTTATATTGTAATTTGAACAGTAGGTTCGTTATATGGTATTGTTGGGGTGAATAATTGATGTGATGGTGTGTTTTACTGCCTTATTTACATGTATTACATTACCATTATATTTTTGATCATGATTTCTCACCCCTTTGTTGTTGTGGTCTGTGCTTTTTCGGAAGTACAGATAATCCAGGTACTTAGCTAGCTTGGATTATGGTGTGATAGTCGAGTCTAGGATGCTCTGATACATAGCACGAGACTTGGGTGTTTTTATTTACTTTATGAAGAACTTATATTTTATTTTCCTGTGAAACGTATCAAACCTTTATTGGATTTTATTATTTAATATTCCGCTGTATTGGAGAAAACCCTTTTTATAAGGAAAAGTTGTTTCCATGTGATATTCCACTTGGGAAATTGGAACTCTGATTTTGTTTATTTATAATGTTTATTAATTTAATTGATTTTGGGAAGTGGGGTGTTACAAGGCTCGCCTCCTCTTTATTACACACAACTTTTCAACGATTTACATTTTCTTTGGAATTTCTCTCTCTCTCTCTAATATTTCTTTCACTTAAAATTGCTTTAGTAATTATAAGTGAAGTTTTATAGAATTTATTGCAAGTGAACATGTTGTTTATTTAATTCTTCACAGTGTGATACTCTTGGGAGGATTGAGTTTGGTTCGTGAGATAAACTAACCTTAAAATTTTTGTTTTGGTTTGTTGAATTTTGTCGAAAAAAGTTCAGCTTTTGGTTATTGTGGTCAACCTAAAAATTTCTAAGAAGGTTTGTTAGCTTAGCTTGTGGTAAAAGCTATCTTTTGTTGGGGATAAGCCTGTAAAAATCTCAAGATCAGTTTGTATTAAGGTTCGTGGATATAACCTATAAATGCTTAAAATTTATAGTAAAAATCTCAAGAAGACTAATTGAGACAATACTAAGCCAACATTCGGCTAAACCTGGATAATTCTCTTGTGCAATCTCTCTAAAATCTCATATATTTTATTTTTGCCTATTTTTTCCGTTGCTAAATACTCTTAAAAGAACTACTAACATAATCTTAATCAAGAAAAATATAAAGTAACAAGGAATTTTAAAGTCACTTGTCCAACATTTATTGGTAAGAGTTTGTGCTCGTAATTTTTTATTTTTTGTGGTACTCTACTCATGACCGCTTGAATTATTGACTCCGGTGCTACTAATCATATGACATTTGATTTCATATCAGTATCTTGTTACAATTCACTTTTTAGTATTTCTTATATCAATGTTTCTAAATGCTTTCATGTTCATATCGTTGACATTAAAAATATTGATTTACGACCTTCATTTAAGCTATAATTTACACTTAATATTCCCATATTTTCAAACAATTTATTTCCACCCAAAGGCTTACTTGTGATCAAAATTGTAAAGTTACACCTTTTACTTCTCATGATGTTTTTCATAAATTTTCCTACAGGGGGCGATTGGAATTATTAAAGAAAATGATGAGTTATCCTACTTCTTTTAGGAGCCAGACGATCGAAAGTGTTCTCTAGTTCGGATCTTCCTCTCTTGTCTCTCAAATTTGATCTAAGCACGAGCATCTTGAATATCCCCCATTTATATAATTAAGTATGTGTTTTCGTCTTTGTTCTTACAACATTATGTTGAGTCTTTTAAGTATGATGTTTGTTAGTTAGAAAAACACGATCATATTTTTTTTCTTTCCAGTTTTACTAAAAGTGATGAACCATTTCATGTTATTCATTTTGATGTTTGAGGACCTATCCCACCTTTTAATCCTTTTATAAAAAATAGTTTGTTTCTCTTATTGATGATTTCACTCAAATTATTTGGATCTTCTTGAGGAATAATAAATTAGAAGTATCATAGCTGTTTATTCAGTTTTATAACATGGTATGAAATACAAACATAATTTGGGAATGATATGAAAATAATTCGTTCTAACAACGATAAAGAACATGTCAATCTTGCCTTTTCCAACATCATAATAAAAATATGACATTATCCATAAATTCACATGTGTCAGCACCTCTCAGTAGAACAATGTCACAGAAAGAAAAAAAAGTCATATACTTGAAGTTGCTCGATCTCTCCTAATTCAAATGTTTGTTCCCAACTTTTATTAAGGAGAGACAACTCTTACTATTACACATGTGATTAATCAGGTCTTGTCTTGAGTCTTCCGTGATATTAGTCATCTTCATTGTTCAATGTATATTCTCACATTTTCTCTCTATTCTCGTATTATAGAACCTTATGTTTCGTGTGTTTGTTCGTGTCGCATTTTTTATGTTCATAAACAATATCGCAACAAGTTGAATCCCAGTATTGTCTAATGTATCTTTTGAACTAAACATCTAATAAAAAAGTATAAACATTATCATCTTCCTGATCGAATTTATTTTTGTCTTCAATGATATCACATTTCATAAAAATGTATGATACTTCATTCCTTCTCAATCTTAGGAGGAGAATATAAATGACATGAAATTTGAATATAGATTTCCGACCCTTAATCCCAATCTCCCTAAAACACCTATCATTATTCTTACACTTGAATTTAAATTGTTATCTATGTCGAGTCACGATACTAGATCTAACACTTGAACCTCAGAGAGTGTGTGTATATATATAGTGATGATCTACTTACTTCAAGAGGAAGTTTTTTTAACTTACTCCACAATTATAGCCTTTAAATTAACTTTTTTATTTAAAGTATAAGAATTTTTATTTTATTTAAAAATTAGCTTTTCTATTTAAAGTATAATTTTTAAAATAAAATTAAATATAAATTATATTTAATATATTGTCTATCATTCTTTTCATAATCAATAAAGATATTTTCATATCTTATGAAATTTATTTTAAAAAAAATATACACTTTAAATTATTATATTTTGACTTATTTAATAAATATAACTTTTATTCATTTATTTACTTATACCTTAGGATAAAAGGAGTACTTGTCTGTTTAAATAACAATTTCATAATTATATTTATTTTGGATAAATTTTATACAACTAAATTAAAAAAATATTTGAATGGAATGTAATAATTATAATTTATTATAAGTGCGTATAATATATGTTGAGAAATGGAGGCGTGAATGTGACGGCCACGAAATTGAATTAGATTGTTGGAAACCCAACTAGTGGACCCCACATTCCAACTCGAACCCAATACCATTCATAACAAACTCTCACACTTTCTTCTCTACTAACAACGAGTCACCACCACTCACCACTCAACTCAACTCGCCGTCGTTATCATGAACATCCTCACCGCAACAATCTCACTGTTATTTACTTTTCTTCTCACGATTTCAACTGTCGCCGCCAACCACGGCGTTTTCAACGTGAAATACAAGTTCGCCGACGATCAACAACGCTCTCTCTCCGTTCTCAAAGCTCACGATTACCGCCGTCAAATGTCTCTCATCACCGGCGTTGATCTTCCGTTAGGAGGAACCGGTCGTCCTGATTCCGTCGGGTGCTCGCTCTTCTTTTCTTCAATATTCATAATTGTTTTTGAAATTTTCAAGATATTGATGATTGATTATGAAATTGTGGTTTGTGGTTTGTGTTTGTGTTTATAGGCTTTATTATGCTAAAATTGGAATTGGAACTCCTTCGAAGGATTATTATTTGCAAGTGGATACTGGTACTGATATGATGTGGGTTAATTGCATACAGTGTAAAGAATGTCCTACCAGAAGTAACCTTGGTGTATGCTTCTCCTTCACCTTCTTTCTCAGTTATTCTATCTGTTACTCTTTCAACTTTCTGTGTTTTAGCAACTTTTGACACTATTATAAACCCTATAAAAACTCTCACATTTGATAATAATTTGAAAAAAATGAATAAATTACACATAATCACAAGTGTTGGTGTCGGTTTCGGACACTGACATGGAGATGTCCGTGTTATAAAGCATTTGATTATTTTACACAACTTGATGAGAAGCTATGAATTAAATAGAAGAGAATAGCAATTTTATCAAATTTAACATTAACACGTTTAACATTTATGGAACATTAGTATATTCATTATGAAATAAACACAAGTAGTTAATATTATATTCATTGAAAACTACCGCTGTAGCACCGAAAACTCTGAAATATGTCTGTCAGTGTTTGAAACCGACACTGACACTTGTGATTACATTTAATTTCTTCGTTTTTTCAAATTATTACTGATGTTGAAAGTGAGTTCATGTCAGGGCCGGTGTTTGAAATCGACACTAGCACTTGTGATTACGTTTAATTTATTCATTTTTTCAAGTTATTATTAGTGTCGACATGGAAATCAGATCCCCTGCTGTCATTACCTTGCCGCATTCACACATTTGACGCGTTTACAATTGTTGAATCAAGATTAGACGGTTTGAATTTTAATGCAGTTTTCAATTTGCTTTAAAATAAAAATATTGAATTTAAAATTTCACCCGTCTGATTTTAATCCAACGACTGTGAATATGCTGAAGGTGTGAATGCGGTAAATCTCAAATGCAGGGAAACTTGGTTCGTCGACATGTTAGTGTTGGTGTCCGTGTTTCATATAAAACTACACTCATAGGTGGTGTCGCAGTAAAATAAAGTCTTTGATGATAGGTAATTTGTGTTATGTTTCCCACAACTTTGCACATGTAAAATAACTATTTAAGTTCCGATGGCTGTCGGGGCATAGCCAATAATTTGTTGTGTGTCTGAATCTTGTGCAACCTCAAATCAACACTGATGTTCTTGTTCATACAATTTTTTTGGTATTAAAGATGGACCTTACGCTCTATAACATAAAGGAATCCTCCTCTGGTAAATTAGTTCCCTGTGATCAAGAGGTCTGCAAAGAGATAAACGGGGGTCTTCTGTCTGGATGTGCTGGTAATACTAATGATTCCTGTCCATATCTGGAGATATATGGTGATGGGAGCTCCACTGCAGGTTACTTTGTAAAGGATGTTGTACTATTTGATCAAGTATCTGGGGACCTTAAAACTGATTCGGCTAATGGAAGTGTTATATTTGGGTGAGTTTTGTCATTACAATAGTGATTGCTATTATGTGTTTATTATGGATGTCTCTTTCTTTTGACGTGACTGTAAACATTTGCTAACATGAATATAAACACGTGTATGTTAACTATGTTTATGTTTATATTAATCTTCTTGAATAGATAGGTTTATGCAATTATGGAGGCTGTAGTCCTACAAATATTTTGCTTGCTATTCTTCTTGTGCATGTTAATTTAACGCTGATGTGTATTGAAATTTATTCTTTTTGTTCTTATCTAACCAATTTTAAATGAGTTTTACTGTTTTGCAGGTGTGGTGCTAGACAATCTGGAGATCTAAGTTATTCAAACGAAGAAGCACTTGATGGAATACTTGGATTTGGAAAAGCTAATTATTCAATGATTTCACAACTTTCTTCTTCTGGGAAAGTGAAAAAGAAGTTTGCTCATTGCTTAAATGGAGTAAATGGAGGCGGTATATTTGCGATTGGGCATGTTGTACAACCTAAAGTCAACACGACTCCATTATTACCTGACCAGTATGCCATCTATTTACTATACTTCTAAATGAAATTATTTATTCTCAATTTCCCATAGGGTCATTGATTACTCTTTTGAGGATAGCATCTTTTAAGTTTTCTTGTCATGTATTTGTTGGAATATTCACACTGTATATGCTGTGCGTATATTATAAAGATCTGATCTGCACTATGCGAGAATTGTATATGTATTTTATACTTCAGAGTTGCATATGTATCTTTAACCTTGTCTGTCCTTGATTTGTTGGATCCCATGTTAATCATTGTGACTTTTGCTAGTGTTAGAGTCATTAGTGGCCTGTTATGCCTCAATTTCTACTCTCTAAATAAATGTAGCCCTCATCAACTGGTAACTTAAGTCATGCCGTCATGATTTCTGTAGTATTAAAATTTTGGTTTAGAAGTTTCTTTGAAGCTAAAGGATTGCAAGTCAAAATGCAATTGATGATTCCTTTTGTGAAATGTGAAATGTTTCTCATGTTAGCTGAGGCAGGCAATAGGGTTTTCTAATGTTACAGACTCAATGCTTCATTGGTCTTCAAGATTTGTGTTCTTCAGCCATAAAAATAAAAAAATTACTTTTTTCATCTCTTGTTCTAAACTAAAAACAAGATATCATTGTTAAATGTTTATATCTTCGCTTCTTTTATTTGCTGGATTGTTGGCCAATTTGCCTATGTTCCTAAAATTGTTTTTTTTTTAATGAGATAAGTTCATATGATTGTTTACAGTGGTCCTCGGAGTTGCTTTTCTATTTTTGATGTTAGTTTACAAAAATCCATATGTTGAGAGATATCTGACATTTAAAAATGTTTTAGGCCACATTACAGTGTCAACATGACGGCGGTTCAAATTGGCCATACCTTCCTTAATCTCTCAACAGACGCATCTGAACAAAGAGACAAGAAAGGGACAATAATTGACAGCGGTACAACCTTGGCCTATCTACCTGACGGGATCTATCAGCCACTAGTATATAAGGTATACATGGGAGCAGCTAATTGTAAAATTATGTAACAGTTGTGTGTAAAGTTGTTTGAGTTTCTTTTTCTTGTTAGATAATTTCTCAGCAACCCGACCTAAAAGTTCAAACTCTCCATGACGAGTATACATGCTTTCAATATTCTGGAAGGTATGATGCATCACATGCGTTTACTAAATCTGATACTATACAACGGGTTTACCATAATCTTTCTTTCTTGAAACACATGTCAGTAAAGAAATATGTATGTATGCATGCATATTTTGTGTGTCTGTGTTTAGTGTTTCATCACGGTTGGTTGGTTCAAGCTTTATGTGCTTTCACTATTTTGGTAGTTTACATTGTAAATTCCACTCGTCACTGTAGGAGAAAGTATTCAATGTTCAGTATGAAATTTCTTGTTACTTCCTTATATTTCCTTACCTTAGCTGATTTTACATAACTGATTTAAAATAGACTAGACTGGATAGGATTAGAAATGAATATATTAGAATATTGAAGTAGCACTTATAGTAGAGAAGATGGTAGAAAATAGACTTGGATGATTTTGACATGTAGAGAGAAGACCTATATATTCTGTGGTAAGGAGAGTAGATAAGATGGAGAGAAGTCAGACAACTAGAGGAATAGGAGGACCTAGAAAAACTATAAGAGAAGTTATTGAGATCTCGAGATTAACGATTTGGATAGAAGCATGGTTCTGGATAGAATATTATGGCGAAAGTTGATCCATGTAGCCGACCCCACTTAGTTGGATAAGGTTTGGTTGTTGTTGTTGTCCTTTTTTGGGTGATAAAAGCTTAAACAAAGGGGCCATTAATTAATTAGGTAAAAAGCATTTGTTTCTGGCACATAGCTAATAACGACGATTGTAAGAAAAATGCATTATATGATCTATTCTTCTAATAACTACAATTGCTTCAGTAACAGGACTTGCTCCTTGCATAATATATGCTTTAATGTTAGTATGAGCTCCATTCAGATATGTGATGGTTATTTGATTTTATGCTGCAGTGTTGATGACGGATTTCCAAATGTCACCTTTTATTTTGAAAATGGACTCTCCTTGAAGGTTTATCCACACGATTATTTATTTCTTTCTGTAAGTATTTGGAAATCCCTTTCACATATTTGTTTTTACTGTTATCAGAAGTTAACTGGTCTTGTTTTGGGACCTATCATCAGCATTTTCTTATATATTGCTATTGTGTCAGACATCAAATTTAAGTTCCCAAATATTATTTTTGTATGTCAGACATCAAATTTAAGTTTATAATCTGTTTATTTTAATTAACTACTTATGTACCATCCCTGCAGGAAGGTTTTTGGTGTATTGGTTGGCAAAATAGTGGGATGCAATCTAGAGATAGCAAGAATATGACTTTGTTGGGAGGTATACTCTTGAAATCTGTGTCTATGCCAATAATGACTTTGCTTAGTAACGCTATCTAACTTTTATTGTGAAAGCTTTTGAATTCAGTTAAAAATCCATTAATTTGCCTTATATGTAACTTTAAGGATAGCTTGCATGAACCTTTTTATACTTCCGGTTTGAGATTAGAATAGTGTATACATATGATTTGTATTTGTATTTTGTTGGAAGGGATCTTATGCTGTTGAGTGCCTTCATTTTTATTTGTTGCAGATTTGGTGCTTTCAAATAAACTTGTCTTTTATGACCTTGAAAATCAGGTTATTGGATGGACGGAGTACAACTGTGAGTATCTATCTATTATTTCTTTGTTTTCGAGTTTTGTTGACACAATAAGACAACAAAATCTAGTTTTGTCATCTTAGATAACTAATTTTTTCCCTGTTGTATCGCAGGTTCGTCAAGTATTAAAGTGAGGGACGAAAGGACCGGAACAGTTCACTTAGTTGGTTCGCACCTTATATCTTCCTCTTACTCTCAAAATACCAATTTGGTCACAATTCTATTTCCAATTGTACTACTTCTCATGTTGATTTGTTGAGATGAAAGAAACTAATTCATATAACCAAAGTCAAAATTATGGTTAAAATAATTGAAAATAGTAGAAATAACATGAAAATGCTCTGAGAGAAATCAACACTGCAGAAACTCCATGATTTTGTAAATGTGCTTTCAAGGAAAGCCAGATTGGGACCCTTCGCCGTGGATAATATTTTTCTTCCAATGGTGAATCTGTATATTACAATAGCTTACAACTAATTGTATATGTTATTTGACTTCGGTTTTTAGCATGGTGTTCTATGTCAAATGTGTAACTATAAATCAATGGAAAATGGCTCGACATTACCAAAACCAGAAGAGAGAAATTTTGTACTTCTTCAAGATTGGGTAAGAGTATTTTTGAACTAACTATTTAAGTGTATGTTTGGATGAGTTTGGCAAGGCTTTCTCGCATTTCCAAGCAATATTAACGTGATTTTATATTAGGGTACTGTTCACTGCACTCAATGTTGTGATCATTAATCCTATGGAAACTCAAATAGTCTATTATTTGAAATCTGAACATATCAATAATATACAATTTTCATCATCAAAAGGTCACTTCCTAATTGTGTGAAAAAATTAGTCCAAATTTTAGTTATGTGTTTTGCTTGTGTGTTAAGTATAGGTGAATTTAGATATCAAAATCCGGATGCACCGTTTGACATAATTTTATGAAATGTTTTAGCTCTATATTTTAGAACAATGGAGTGAGTCTCGATTTTAATATCTAGACAAACCTTTGGACATTGTCATGAATCCCTTGATATTTAGGAAGAAAATTTTCATATCATATAACCATGTGTTTATTCACGTAACAAATCATATATACATAACTAGGATTAAATTTTCATAAACTATATTATTCACATAACATCATATACACATAACTAGGATTAAATTTTCATAAACTCATTCATAAACTATAAATATACAACTAACCATATAACTTTTCAAATTGTTTACAAAATACAAATAAAAAACATTTACTATTGGATAAATTTAACGCCCTTGTTCTCTATGTCTTCTATATTGTAATGTATATCATACCTCTATTAAGAGTGTTTGTATAGTGACCTTTTCATAAGTGGTTTTTTAAAACTCTCATAGTTATGCGTGCGTGTGCGCGCGCGCGCGCGCACACACACACAATAACAACTATATGGAGACATATCGACAATATATTCATGACATGGTCCATCACCGCTTATTCTTCTTCTAGTAACTCCTTATGAGTTGTACTAGATCTCATACTGGCTCTAGTGTCAAGTAAGGGACGAACACTCTATAAAATTATTAGATGTAACATTATATTTTACTCAATTAACGAGGATTTGACACACTGCGTACACCCTCTGACACTAGATGTTCATTGTTGCTCATAAATATCGCATTGAAATCTCTATGGAGGACACTGACAAGAGAGACATCCAAAGTACTAAAGTTTCACCTCCAATGGCCGCATTTAACGGTGCTCGCCGTACGGTGTGAAACAGATATCATCTGTTAGGATGCTGTCAAGAGTATGGCTCAATAGCTGGATTATGTAACACCTGAGGTCGAAGATGGCGAAGAGTGGCCGTCGAATTCACATCAGAATGAGAAGGATCTCGAGGTTGTACAAGTATGAGACTGCATGGTTGAAGGAAAACTTATAAGAATTGATTGATACTACCTACACCAACAAGATGCATCTTCTTTTCGATAGCCTAATAAATAAGAACTTCATAGATAAAGAGGTTTGATTTGGAGTAGTATTTAGATGGGTGACATTCTAAGAAGTATCTCGGAAAGCGTGAGTGAGGATAAAGCATTCTAAAAAGACATGTCTTGGTTTGTGAGGTCATTTGATAATCCTAAAAAGCAGTTTAGGGCGTTACAAGTGGTACCAGAGCCAAATCTCTCCCAGTAAGATGTGGTTTGGGGACGAACCAAGCGGAGGCTGGTGGACATGTAACACCCGAGGCCGAAGAGGGCGGAGATTGGATGTAACACTTGAGGCCGAAGAGGGCGGAGAGTGGTCGTCGAATTCACATCAGAATGCGAGAGATCTTGAGGCTGTGCAAGTATGAGACTGCATGGTTGAAGAAAGACTTGTAAGGATTGGTTGATACTACCTATACTAACAAGATGCATCTTCTTTTTGGTAGCCTAACAAATAAGAACTCCATAGTTAAGGAGGTTTGATTTAGAGTAGTATTTAGATGGGTGACCTACTGATAAGTTTCTTGAAAAGCTTGTGAGTGAGAACAAGGCAATGCTGAAAAGACCTCTGTTGGTTTGTGGAGTTGGTCAATAATCTTGAAAAGCAGTTTAGGGCGTTACAGATTGCCCCTGGGTGGAATAATCTAACACATATGGAAACTCCTCTGAGTAGTTGTCAACACACTCCTAGACAACAATAACTTGAAAATATTGGAGGATTCCTACTTGCAAATGGTTTAGGTGAAATATTAATAAGTGTGTCGCATAAGTATTGTTAAATTAATATTAATAAGGTTATAAATAAATTACTTGAAATAGATAGTTGTTTTTTTTTTGTCTTATGTCTCATCTTTCATAAATTACCTTCAACTAACTTGAAGTAGAGGTAAACCAAATAAGATGTCTCAATTATACTCGTGAATTCTCTCCAAGTCTGTGAAGTATTTAATGTAGACAATGTCAACATAAGTCACATTTTTTTCACAAAAATGACAGTGTCAACTAAGATCGTGAAGTATGTCCTCAATGCACATACTATATGATAGACAACATATGCCTCATCACCTGTAGCATCCATAGCCGCATTCCGGTGGTAAATATATATTTTTTCAATAAGGATGAGAATCTAGCATGATATTCCCTGGTCTCTTCTAACTCCCCTTGGGTTTTACCTGAATCAGACCCTAATCATGTCACCATTAGATCAAGGGCCTCAAGTCTAGTAATTTTAGAGTGATCCAATCAACTTCCTGTGATTGGAAGATGTATGAGGTGTGATATATTATCAAGTATGATAGTCATTTTACCGATCAAAAGATAAAATAATGACGTCTCTGTGTGTCATCTCTCAACAAATGCAAACAACAGACCATGGTAAATATAATCATATCCAGTCCTATAGAAATCAAAAGCTTCCTGAAATAGTTCATCAAGGTTCGACGTCTTTGATATCTTCCTGACATGGTTTATATATGTTAACGAGTCACAGTACTGCAAAAATAATACATCAATGTCAGAAAATTCAATTAGTATAAATAAATGTTTAAAACAATAACAAAATATTTATGTTACTTTTCCCTCTCATGCGTGAACTACATAATGGTGTGCATATAGAGGAAGTCGTGAAATGTCTTCGAGGCCTCCCAGAAAAATAGCAGAAACGATAACATCAAATTCAACTGTAGGATGTGGATAATGCACATGTACATCATCATGAATGGGAGCAGGAAGTGCTTCGTCATGAGCCAGAGATACATGACTTCGAGAAGGAAATCCCTTAGCATTACACGATGATTGTTCAACTGTGCGTCGCAAGAGTCTATTCCTAGCACATTAAAGTGTGTTGAATCACTCAAACATGTATGTATCACTATTGTTCATCAAGCACTTTTTCTATAGAACTAAATAGCAATGTATCATCAAACAAAATTAAAAAAAGGAATGAACGATAGAAAGTTCCAAATAAAATTAAAAAAAAAGGACTGAATGATAAAAAATTTCAAATTTTGATTTCCAGACAAGGATTTGAATTTCAAAATCCATACTAAAATGAATCAAAGTACAATGCGCTCATGAACGTAGCCTAACCTTAAATAACTCAAATTCACACTAAATCTTATTAAAAACAAATAAATAGTACATTTCTATTTAATGCATTCTAATATAGCATAACTTTATCGTATTAATGAATTGCATGTATCTCAAATAAAAAAAATAAAAAAGTAAGGATATGAGAACCTTACCAAATGTGATAGATGTTTGTGCATAGCTTAAATGGAAAGGAGTAGAAGTTAATAAAAATTCTAAAATTGAACGTACAAGAGTAAAATTTAAGAGAAAAATTGAAATAATGTGATAGATGATAGTTCTATTTCTGCAACACTAATTTCGTTTTGTTTCGAATGGAAAGAAAAGAGGCAAACGACATGGCGCAAGTATTTAAATGAAAGTGTATGATTTTATAATTCATAAGTTTAATTCGAAGTTTAAAATTCGAACTTTTTTTTTTTACTTTAATTTTGATTGTAATTTTGAGAAGTGAGAAAGAGTTTGTTGATGTATTAGAATGCATGGACATTTTTTATTTGAATTTAACATCTATTTTTAAGCAACCAATTTCTAAAATATTTTAATATTTTAAAATTTTCACCAAAGTAGTGAACGATCTCCAAAAATATAATCATCAATATATTCGTAATCTTTCAAAAAAAAGACATTCTCTTTAATGTATTTGTTTTTGTTTATTTATTTACAAAGTAGTGAATGATCTCCAAAAAAAAAAAATATTGTCATCAATATATTCATAATCTTTCAGAAAAAGGTATTTGATTTTTTATTTATTTAAATTCAAACAAATTCAATTGTTTAGAGTGCTTTGGGAACATTCTTTGTTATTTGTGTACTTTACTTACAGAAAGACTTTGGGCACATTGCAATTTTATAATAATAATATAAAATAAAAATAATTTGCAAAAGAAAACCCAATTATAATAATTTGAAATATATTTTTTGTTTTTGTTTTTACTTTTTTTGAATAAGTTTCAAAGAAAAGATGTAAAAAGACAATTTTCATTGATTATGAGGAGGATGAAAGAGGTAAACTAAATGAAATTTACATTTAACTTTACTTGAAAAATATACTTTAAGAAACTGTTAGTATTTTCACTATATCTGCTCCACAGCTGTTAAGCGATTTTCACTATATCTGCACAGCTGTTAAGCGATTTCTACTATGCACACTAGTATGCACAAAGCATCCACATAAAGATGTTTCTCTTCACTATCATCACAAATCCATAAAGATGACTGTTTCACAGACCAGCGTTGCCTGGTTGTATAGACCTCACCAGTCACTACCCAATCTCATCCATCAAACCGCCATGGAAACAAGCTTGAAGGAAAAAAAGTATCCTGCAAAGGTTATTGTTGTTGGTTTCACAAATCAATTGAAAACTTTAGCAGAACAAAAAGAACATCAATAAAAAACCAGACTGAAAAGTTCATAACAATTAACCAACAACTCCAATTTTTGCAAGTTCTAGCTTACAGTCTAAATCGGAAAAAGATGTAACTACAAATGATACAAATCAAAATGACGACAGTAATGATAATCACCGGACAAACTATATAATTTGTATCTAGAGATTTGGATTTACAAAAACTCCAAATCAACCTATACAGAGAAGGAAAATGACCTCTAGCACAAAAAAAAAGCCCGGTACCCCTTTTCCTCCGGATGCAAAACATATTAAACTCCTCCAACCCCACCCATCAAATGCTGTCCATGAAAATGAAACATAAATAATGAAAAGAATATTGATTCTCTTTGCACAATTTTCCCAAACTTCTAAATTAAAAAAGGTGCGGGAAGAGAAATGGCGCAAAAGATATACTATCACTGCAGTTTTTCAGCTTCCGCTCCAATTCCATTCTCACTAGGTAGAGATGATTGATCAACTGGGTCTGTTGTTGCATCTGGCATCGACTTGTCTGTGGCATCATCGGCCTTCGACTCTGAATCTGAATTGAGGAAGAGGCACACTGCAGCACAATCATCAACCTTACAGAAAGGGAATTTTGTCCTCCAAGCATGAACAGCCGACTCAACCAGTATTCGAGCGGCAGTAGACTGCGGTGCAGATGCTACAATCTCCACAACTTCTTCATTTGATAAAACATCCCAAATCTGCATGGAAAAATCATCAAGATTTTGAAACAATTAAAACATTTCATAACAAATTTACTAGCTCAAGCATTTAAAGCAATGATTTGGCCTATATTATCTGTCATCGATTATCCTCTATGTCTTACTATTCGGACCATCATACATTTGATGAATAAGTGGTGCCCCTAAGGAAACGAATATACTGATGCAAATGACAAGCCTTTTTGCAACCCTAGAATTCTACAAATTCCAGTTCTAAATAGGAGAAGAACGAGCATGCATGTCAATGTACAAAATATGAATGAGTCTGGTACAACTGGATTGAAATAGGTATTGATAGCAGTGTTCATTTATATTTTCATAAAATCATAAGAATGTGTTATCATTTATCTTGCGATTAACTTGAATAATAATTCATAGATTTTATGCATAAGTTTCAAATGTGAAGTGTGTATAAACAGTACAAGTTCAATTTAAATGCAATCTCAACTTCAAACCAACTTAGAGTAAAGTGCATTGAACTAGCTTCAGATATGATGTCATATGCCTTACCCCATCTGTTGCTAACACAACAAACTCATCCTTATCTGTAAGGCGGTGATATGAGACATCTGGAACAGAAATCAATCCAACATCCTTTAGGCAAAAATCTCCAAAAGCCCGTGCCATAGCTAGACCTGGGAAATCAGAATTAGGTAGCCAAACTCGAGCCACATCAGGTTCATTCTTAAGGGAAAACACCCTTCCTTTACGATGCTTAATCCTCTCTTCTTCCTCTGTATGAAATGAAGTGCAAATCATACATCAACACACAAACATATGTATATGCCAATCTGATTGAAGTATAGAAACAAATTCCAAGTTATAACATTTATTAAAATGTGTAGCAAGAGCTCAAACTTTCAAGTTTCAATGCAAGAGTACTGCCAAAAGTAAATCACTATATCATTAAACATGAATGTCTTATAATAGTTATCAAGCAGAGGCAAAGAATAATTTTAACCCATTCCATTGCTCCAACACAGCTACTTAAAAACTTTTAGATTTCTATAAATGATAAGTCTGAAGTCCATTTTTCTATAACCCGGATAAGCACCAACATAAATTATCAAATGTAAGTTAGTATTGTTGAAAATAAAGTTACAGAGAAAATTGCTTATCTATCAAGAGTTATCTTGCATAAGTATTCGATCTATTGATTTGAAGTTCTTCAAATTAGTTCATCAAGTTCGTTAAGGAACACACACACAGACTCAGAAGGGATGTGCGAGAGAGAGATATATACTTGGAAGATTAGGCTTAAGGTCAATAGTCAACTGAACAGCAATAAGAGAATCTTCATGATCTCGGGTTCCCAGTACAGCTCTTGAATCCCCCACATTTGCAATAACAAGATTCAGCCCCTAAAAGAACATAAGGATTAGAAACATAGTGTAAAACAAATAAGGAAATTATATAAAAAAGCATTCTGTATTTATGTTGTTGTTTATGTTTCTTACCTGCTTTATCAAGGTAACTGCTGTAGTCCCACTGCAAAAGCAATCAATATCACGATGCAGTTTCAGTTCTTTGTCCATAATCTTGCTAGCCTTCAAAAAGGATTCTCTTAATGCCAAGATAGTATTTGATCCATCGAGCTCATGATCAAAGTTCTCACCGACCTGTCTAATTTGCTCTTCAGAATTATAACTTGTGGCAGCACCATTTTGATTACTGAATCCATTTTCATTCTTAAGATGCAAATCCCATTGTGCACCAAGCTTTAAAGGGAAAGAATCCCTAACTTTTTTTGCAACCCTATGGCCATAAGGTCCATGGCCATCAAAAACACCACAAAAAATAGTGTCTTCCTTTGAACAAAAGTTCTGCAATGCCAAAAATGGACGTAGTTTTAAGCATATATGTAACATCTATATCATAAATCTTAGTAGAAAACAAAAGAACCAAACTATTGAGTAAACCGTCTAAACTCTAAATAATGAACAAATTATTTTAATGTAATGTTAGTGAGTGAAATATTAAAACTATGGTAGGTGAGAAAAGATGGACAAGAGAGAGTCTATTGGAAGATAAAAGAAGGTATGCTTTTGGTTATACTGAATTGGTGGCATGAAAAGGAAATAACAACCAAAAGCTTGAGAAAATCGAGAAAGAGTGCTGGGAAGCGAAATCAACAAAGCTAACGATCATACACAGGTAATACCATACTCTCTCCGGGATGATTTATAATCAAAAGTAGACTAAATCACACATATTAAGAATGACAATTAATCGCAATTTCATGTAAAAGATTATTTGTATTACCCAAATTATCCCTTGATATAGTAATGATTTTATTTGCTGGAAACAGAAGTTCAATGAAATGACGAGTACTTTGGAGATATGAGCATTAATTAGGCTAAAAAGTTTTAACTTTCCCTTATATTTCATTCCCAGATAGATGGACTATTTTGGCTTATAAATCTTTCTGGAGGGAGTATTCATTAAGTGAAAAGCCATAAATTCCAAGCCAAAAATAACCAACATTTTTCATTCAAAAAGAGGGCAAAATACAAATTTCCATTGACACTTGATCTAAAAGCCGAAAAGCAAAAACAATAAAGTGATAATAGACTATAAACCATAAATTAAACCAGTTTGGATTTGCAGTATAAAACAAGTTATACATATTCATGGACAAATGAAACAAGGAAACTTCTACAAAAACAAAAGATACAATACAAAAGTTAATTTCAACTTATATGAAAAACTGCTATAGTAATTGACGATTCTTTTAATATTTCCTTTTCCATAATTGTTTATGTTATCCAAAATTTCTCATATCAGTCAGGGTTAGTTCATTATTACTACTTTAAAAACATTGTAACAAGCACATGATACTTCTACTAAACGTTGATAAACTTTAAAAATACATAACCTTTTCACTTTAATAGATGCTAAAAGAGAAAGAAAGAAAGAAACCTCCCAAACAAGCATAGCATCTTGGTTGACTCCTTTTCTACCTTGCTTACAATACATAGAAGCAACATCACTTGAACCATTCAAGAACATTCTCCCAGGCACCTTATAATCCATGGTAGATGAACCCCTTATCCTCTTCCTCTTCCCACCATCGCCGACGTTCAATTCCTGGGAATAAGTTAACAGAGGAGGCGAACCACCAGCACCAACCTCTGATATACAAGATCCCATTCCCAAAGCCCTCACAATGTTCAGAAAACATTCAAAACCAGCTAAACACTCCGAATCTGAACCCCTCCCTTCCGCAACAAAATCCGTTCCATATCTATTCAACACTTGCACAGCCTGCAACAGTCATCATCAACAAAAACAACAACACAATAGTCATCATAATCTAACTCATTAGTATTCAGATTCAGAAGCAAACAAAATCGAAACCGAACTCGAAAACAAGTAAATCAAGTTTGTAAGAACTACCTGAGTCATGACGATTGTTGCAATGAACAGAAATTCCAACTCGATTAAACGAAACGCAAATCAATCTATGTAACAGTAACTTCAATCGGAAAGCGCGTGAATCGGAACGCCAGACGCGTGAATACAAAAAAAATTGCAACAATCGGAAAAAAGAGAATCAGCGGTTATCGATCCAGCGTTACTTCAATTTTTCGATAGCGAAATCAAAGAATCGAAAATCTGAATTGAATTGAACAAGTTTTTGTGGTTGTTGAAGTAAACCCTGAGAGAAACGCTACCGTCACGAGTTGCTGCGTCACCGGCAAGGGGTGGCTATTGTTTAATGGTTTGTCTTAACGCCACGCAAGAACAAAGAACAAAGAACATCTTAATATTTATATGAAAAATAAATAAATATTATATTTATAAGTTTTTATTTATTTGTTTATTTATATAAACATTAATTTTTTTATACATAAATTGTAATTGGTGCATTGTTAGAAAAATGACCTTTATATTATAGATAACTTAGAAGTCATACTCGTTACTCATATCCAACAAAATATATATTATAGATAACTTGAATCAAATACATGTAAGAATATTTTATTCGTGTTTTGTTTTAGATTATCTTTTATGCATTGAAAATGTAATATATATATATATATATATATATATATATATATATATATATATATATATATATATATATATATATATATATATATATATATATATATATATATATATATATATATATATATATATATATATATATATATATATATATATATATATATATATATATATATATATATATATATATATATATATATATATATATATATATATATATATATATATATATATATAATTTAAAAATATAAAAAGTAGTTGAATGTTTATTTTTCAGAATAATATTTATTTATTAATATAAAAAATATTGATATTTATAAATTTAAATTTTTTAAAATAAATAAATAAATTATGGTAAATAATATTTGTAAAGATAATTATATAAATTAATCAAAACAGTAATGCGTCCATCTTTTATCATATGATATTTTGATACTTTTACAAGTATTAAATAAAATTGTATAAAAAAAAGTTTCGGAATGATTTCACAAAATTATTATTTTTATTGATAAGAAGTAAGAAGAATTGAAAGAAAAAAAATTAAATAAATAAGAATATAATAAGGAAAAAAATAAAATTTTAATTAATATAGTAAAGTGATTTAAAATTTATTACAATTTTGATAAAATGATATTAAATAAAACAGAATTGAATTGAAATGTATTCACATTCTACACAATCAATTAATCATAGACGTTAAAACTTGGGAGAAGTTTGACTTTTAATCTCAATAGAAAATGAATAATAATATTTTAAATTAATTTAATATATATCTGAATTTTAGGGATGACAATTTGACTCATCTCCAATTAACACATGTAAAATCATCCATAATGGATATGGTGAAAACCTACCAAAAATAGGTATAGGCATGAGATAGGGTAATTAATTACCCGCAAAAGTTAATATATATTTATGTGTTTTCATTTATATTTATATATTTTAATTTATTTATTATATAAAAATACATGTTTATCAATTTTAAAAAGTATATTAATATTAAATTATTATATATTTAATATAAATTTTTGTTTATTTTAATAATAAATTGCTTAAAAAAATTGTAATGTTTTTAAAAACTTAAAATGATATGAAATTTTATGATTTATCTATTTATTTTAATAAGAATGCGAATAAGAGATATAAGTACTTACTTATCTATAGGGTAAGGATACAGATGCTAATTTTGACGCTCAAGCGGGTATTAACTTGGATATTGAAATTTTTTCAAATTGCAGATACGGGGAAGAGTATTGTAGTACCCTGCCCTAAACCTTATACACGGTCATCCTTACTAAATTCAATTCAATTTGATATAGATAGAGTATTAATAATGGTTTATGACTAATTGTGTGAAAATTATTTCATCAAAATTATTCTAAAAAAATAAAAATTAATATAATATTATAAGAAAACTTTAAAAAAAAAAAAAAACTCAAATTACAATTTGGACCAGTGTTTTAAAACTCTGACCGTTTTGGCCGATTAGATCGTGAATCTAAGGATAAAGCAGTTCAATAAGATCATCAGACCATAGTTGCAATTGATTTAGTGAAATTCGATGCGATCCGATCGATTCACTATGAAACGATGAGTTTTTTAAATCGACAGATCGAACTTTTTATGCTTATTTTTTAGTTTAATTACAATTTTGTTCCCCTATTTTCATATTTCTTGCCTCTATTTTAAATTTTGTTTTATTTAATATTTATAATTTGTTAGTTATTTATAATAACTAAATGTATTTTTGATCCCTTAGTTTGTACATTTTAAACAATTGGTCCACTATTACAAAATCAACGATTTTGATTTCTTAATTTTGATGGCCTTTGAATTTTTATGGTCCCTTTTCACTTTTACATACTTGGTCATTAGGGATGAGAATAGGTCAGACCGGCCTACACGAGCCTATAGTCTAGCCTATTTAAAATCAGAACATATCAGACCTATTTAATAAAAAATCAAGTTTAGACTTTTTAAAAGCCAATTTAATTAAATAGATTAGACTTAGACTATTAAAAAAACTATAAACCCTTATAGGTCGGCTATATATATCAAAAATAGTCTAAATATAATGACCTATATATGCATATATATTATTAAAAATATATTAAATAGGTTGGTCTACATATGCATATATATTAAAAAAAATGTTAAATAGGTCGGCCTATATATATATATATATATATATATATATATATATATATATATATATATATATATATATATATATATATATATATATATATATATATATATATATATATATATATATATATATATATATATATATATATATATATATATATATATATATATATATATATATATATATATATATATATATATATAGACCGACATATAAAACTTTTTAACCAATATAGATTAATCAAAAACCTTAATAAAAGATAGGTTTTTAAATAGACTTTTAAATCAGGTCATGCTTTTAAAAAAATTAGGCCAGACAAAAAAAGAGAGTCTATAATAGACCATAAGTCAGACTCAGGCTTTATAAATTTATCATAGGTTAGACTCAAGTCTTCTAAAGTCTAGTCTAACATAATCTATTGTCGTAGGTGAAAGTGCTTTGTTGTCGTAATATTTGTGAAGTGCTTTGTTTATTACTGCTAATTACATGCATTACTAATTGTTAAAAAAAGTAGTAAATTAAATGATGATTAATATTCACACCTTCAGATTAAACCAAAGAGCAATGTTATTTAAAATTGGAGAGTGTATTCCTGAAGAAAGAGCATGCTATAGTAGGAGTGATGTGTATGCTTAACAAACTGATGTGTTTTTACGGTGAAATCTTTAGTGATGTTGTTGGAAGCCCATGCTATGCAAACGACAAAGTTCTATATTAAGTTCCACATTAATTTTCTAAAACATAAGATAACTGTTAATATAACGTATCAATTCTAAGCTTTTTGAAATTATGGATGTTGGAATGATATTGGAACAGCATGTGCTTTTGGTTGAAAATTTTGATTTTAAAATTTTAATTAATTTAATTTCTATAAAAATAGTTTACACGATCCCTACATCATAACTATTTATAAGTGATATATCTTTGATGTTTAATTTGGTCAAAGAGAAGAGAGAGATATATTTTATAATTTCAATTATTCTCTCTAATGTAATTTTTACTATACTTCTATAAGATGCTGAGAAATGACTGACATTTTCCACTTGAATGTTGAAATGTATTTGTAAGAAAGTTCAAGTAAAAGTTCTCCATATCAAGATGATATAAATGCTCATTTTCTCATACTTGTGGGTAGTAAGTTGAGTTTTCCACTCAAATACGAAAAAAATATATTCTCACTTAAAAATAATCAACCAACAACATAGCCTTTTATAAACATAGATTTGCAAGTGGTTCTCGTTGAATACAATAGATGTGAAGGGTGTTAATACTTTTTCATTGTATAACCAACTTTCGTATTCAAATCTCTTTTTTTAGCTTTTTTAAAGCTTTTTGTGGGTTTTGTTCGACCTTTCCCCTTTTCCCTTTGGAAACAACAAAGTTCGGTAGAAACTCTTGCTTTTTCGAGTTAAGTTAATTAATAGTTTAATCTCAATTTTTTTCCGCCGCGACACACACAAGCAAGAGACTTCTTTTGCTCAATCATACAAGCAAGAGACTTCAAATGCTCAAACACTTAGTAAGAGACTTATAAAAATCTACATAGAAGATAAACGATTGTTAAGAAAATACACTTAATATACAATCAGAGGTGTATTAAAAATATTAAGCAAATAGACTCTTTTAAAACTTAAGGATTTTTAAGATATACAAGGATAAGAAATCCTAAGTTTAGCTTGTGCTTTTATGGTGACAGAGTAACTTCTCTTTTTGTGTCAATTTTTTCTTCAAGACTTTTAACTCTTTAAATAGAGTAGAAAAGATTAGTTGAAGATGCAACATAATAGAATCCTTTGAGAATATTCAAAAGAGACGTTGGGATGATTCACCAAATAGTCAGGGTAGATGAAGGCTAGTTTGAAGATCCTTTGCTACAAAAGGAATTATCAGATGTATCCCAACTGACTCTATGAAGAAAATATAGCTTATGTCTTCACGTGATAAAGTATATTCAGAGATAAACGTTGACCTATTCACCTTGGTCCTTGCGTTTTGATTGGCTTAGGTTCTAATAATCAAAAGAAGATTTCTTCAAAGTCTGGCCTTCAGAGACTGACTTCTTCGGACTCTGACCTTCAAACGTTGACCTCTTTAGAGTCTGGTCTTTAGCTTCTAATCCATCAAATTTTGGTCTTTAAGCTTCTCATTGAATGTTCATATTCAGAACCAATACTTGAATTTTATATGAAAATTTAGTCTATGATCCTGCACATTTGAACAAACATTAGTATACCGAATCGTTCTT